ATCCGGTACATTTAAAAATGCATGTAATAAAGGATTTTTCTCTTTCATTTATATTTAACATTTATATTTAACTGAATATCCATAAATTCATTCTAGATAGAGCAAGAACAATAAAAGTTTTACGAGTCAGCAGACCTTAAATCATTTAAGACGCTATAATAAGTTATTGAAGAAAGATGTTTAGAAATTGACAGGACCTACTTAATAGCAAAGAAAATGTTAGTATTTTTCAAAGAGAAGAAAATTCTCCCCAAATTTCTTATTCAACTGACATAAAGAAAATTATTTCCTAAAATTCAATGAATCTGTTTTTTAGAAGACAAATCATGTGCAAAATCACTAGGCTAGGTACTATAGTTAGACACACAGTGAACCACAGTCCTCATCCCCATAAAGCTGGGTACAGAGCAGAATAGGTTACTCTCTTCCTTCCTCTATCAATATAGGTTTTCAGGCTCCCGTCACTAATGGAATAGAACATACCTTGAATCTGGACCACCATTAACTTAGGAGAATGGAGGGTGAGAATTCTATATCCTCTTCAACATATTTGAGACTTCTTTGAGACAAGGAAAGGAAATTAGCAAGGAGATCTGATTGATGTCCTTGCTCCAAGTCATTTGTGGTACCTTCACTGCCCCCAGTATGTGATATGCCTCAATAACCACTTCCTTTTTTATTTTCCTAGTCTTCTAGCACTCCAGCTTCCTCCACCACATATCATCACTATTTGGAAACATCAGTTTGACAGAAAGAGCCAGGAGAGGCATATGTGATTTTGACTTTCCTTCATCCAACACTTCTGGATGTCTGAGGTAAGAGAGACAACCCACCTAGAAGCCTGGGTTGTCCCAGGGTTCAGGGAGATATAAGTTATGTATACTTGAGTAATTTGGGGAGGCCTTAAAATAAATATTTACTCATCACCCACCACATGCCAAGTATATAATTCTGTGAGGCAAGTATTATTGTTCCCATTTTAAAGATCAGAAAACATAATCACCAAGAAGACAAGAGATTTTCTTTAAATAGTTATATGACCTAGCCAAGACTGAGACATAGGCCTTCAAGTCCATCCTTTTTTCCATTATATTAGTCTACTTCTTGGAAGTGGAAAGGTATTAATTGAGTCTTGAAGGATAGGTAGGAGCGAAGTATTGAGAAGAGAGAAGCATTGAAGAGGGAGAAGAGTGTCTCAGGCATGGTGACCCATAAGGGCATTGACAGAATGAGTTGCTGCTACAGTTTTTCTTCACATTTTTCCCTCTAGTAAGACATTAGAGAAGAGATAATTGGGAAACAAAACATTTCAATTGATAATTCTGTTCTTAAGAGTACCAGTTTTGGAGAAGCACAGCTGGGAGTGCTTACTCTCGGTGGTAGGAATACTTAGATAACAACTTTGTGACTTTGTGTCTTCTGTAGTTTAAAAAGTTCACTAGAATCTTGTAAAATTTCATCATTTTCTCACTGTACTTCACTCTGGTCTCCTCCAGACAGTAGGAAACATTATAAAGAAGGAAGAACTAATGTCACAACCCCACTGTTCTGTCCTGATTTTTTCTTTGAAGTAGTCTCTTCATATGTTAAATGATCAGTTTATACTAGCAACAATTGGCTGGCTAGTCCAATTGAACTATATTAAATGTATAGATTGTGCTATATGTTACCACACTTTTGTTTATATGTTTGCTTTTAATATTTATATTAAAAACTCAGCTTACTATAAAGCCTGCTTATTTTGTGCCTTGTTACTCTCAGCAATCATGTTGATTTTCAAAAAAGGTTTTTTGGATTAAGGCTTCTGGAAAGCTTAGGTTGCTCATTAGAATTCAAGAGCTGAATATACAACTGTTGGCCACACAGTCCAAAGAAGTAGCAGGCTTTAAGGTCATATAATGTTACAAGAAGAATGTCTGAATGGCATGAGAAGTTCTATTTCCTAAGAAATTGTTGAAAGAGAAACTATCAGGGAATTTTGGTTGTTGGAAGAGGAGGCTAGAGTCGTTCTCAAAATTTTAGCAGTGATGACTTTAGAAAACTAGCAAAAGCTCATGAATAAAATAGTCAGTTTGGATAATGTAATAGCCAGTAAAGACAATGCAGGACAAAAAGTATTCTGATTTTATAATCTCTGGATTAAAAAAAAAAAAAGTAACATCTGAACAGTTTGCCTGTGCTGATGCAAAGTCTGTAATGAAGTCTTACCAGGAAAATGGAAGATTCTCTCTAAAAGGGAAACAATTTTTTAGAGAGCCATCAAATTCTTAATTTGTTATGCGCTGCAATACCTAACAATTTCCAATGACCTATTTTAATGGAAGTTTTAAGATTTTCCTCTGGGTTATTGTGCCTTTTATGACACTACCATTTTCTTGTTTCTGCTCTTAAGACACCACTAATGTAACCTAAAAATTTTTTCAAATGCCAAAAGAGGAGAAATTGAGAGAGTAGCAGCATTGACTACAAGGGATGAGAGAAATAAATGAAATAGACAAATCGGTCACTCAGAGTACAGGAGAAACTAGTGGACCAGAGGAGGCAAAGCATTGCTTTGCCAAGCCATAGACACACAACAGTTTTCATCACACAACAAGTTTCCAATTTAAAATTAATGTTAGAGTAAAATTTGTAAATTGTGCGAATTGCTAGGAGTAATATTTAATTAGATTAACTTATCATTTGCATGGCTAATGAATAAAAGAAGTGACAATTATCTGGCATGAAATGGAGCATGTTCCTATACCTAGAAGAGGCTTTTGTATCTGTGGTAGTTTTCTAATTTATTTTATTAAAAATTTTCAGTCAACATTCAATTTTATATTAGTTTCAGGTGTATAGCATAGTGGTTAGACATTTGCATAAGATATAAAGTGATCCGCCTAATAAGTATAGTACCCACCTGGCACTACACATAGTTATTACATTATTGACTTTATTTCCTGTACTTTACATCTCCATGCCTATTTTGTAACTGCCAATTTGTACTTCTTAATCTCTTCATCTTTTTCACCCATTGCCCAACACCCTTCCTGTCTGGCAACCACCAGTTTGTTCTCTTTATCTATGAGTTTGTTTCTGTTTTGATTGTTTGTTTATTTTGTCCTTTAAAGTCCAGATAAAAGTGAAATCATATGGTATTTGTCATTCTCTGTCTGACTTATTTTACTTAACATAATACCCTCTAGGTCCATCCACGTTGTTGCAAATGACCATATTTCATCCACGTTGTTGCAAATGACCATATTTCATTCTTTTTTATGGCCAAGTAACATTTCATTGTATACATGTACCACCTCTTTTATTCAATCATCTATTGATGGACACTTAGGTTGCTTCAATATCTTGGCTATTATGTATGAAATTTCCTTTTTTGTCTCGTTTTATAGCCTTTGTTTTAAAGCCGACTTTGTCTGGTCTAAGTATTACTCATTTCTCATTTCCATCTGCATGAAATATATTTTTCCATCCCTTTACTTTCAGACTGTGTGTCTTTCGATCTGAAATGGGCCTCTTGTAGGCAGCATATATAAGGGTCTTGTTTTCTTCTCATTCAACCACACTATGTCTTCTGATTGGAGCATTTAATCCTTTTACATTTAAAGTAATCATTACTAGGTATGTAGTTATTGCTATTTTATTATTCATGGTTTTTTTCTTCTTAAAGGAGGCCCTTCGACATTTCTTCTAATACTGGGTTGGTGGTGATAAACTCTTTAAGCTTTTTGTCTGGGAATGTAGTGCTTTTCAAACTTTAGTGTGGGTACCAGATGTTGGGATGCTTGGCAAAATGTAGATTTCTAGGCCTCTTTCTCAGAGATCCTAACCTAGTAGCTCTCGGGTAGGGTTTCTCAATGTTGGCACTATTGCCATTTTGGGTGGAATCATTTTTTGTTGTGGCAGACTGCCCTGTGTATTTTATGATGTTTACTAGATACCAGTAGCACCCCTGCTCCAGTCCTGTTCCCAAAGGTTGCGAAATGTCACGGGGAACAAAAAGCACTCCCTTCCTTTGAGAATCACTTGTCTAGGGTGAAGCCTAGGGACCAGCATTTCCAAAAAGAACATCAAAGTGATTTTGACAAATGTGGTCAGTGAACCAAACTTGAGACATACTGAACTAAAGCGTTATGAGTTAAATTATGTCCCCTCCAAAATTCATGTTAAGTACTAACCGTCAGTACCTCAAAATGTGACCTCATGTGGAAACAGAGTCATCGCACATTCAGTTAAGATAAGGTCATACTGGGTTAGAGTGGGCCCCTAATCCAATATGACTGGTATCCTTATAAAAAGGGAAAATTTGGACACAGACAGACACTCAGGGAAAATGCAAAGATTGGAGCTATGCTGCCACAAGCCAAGGACTGATCAGAAGCCAGGAGAAAGGCCTGGAACAGATCCTTCCCCAGCACCTACAGGGGGAGTACAGCCTTGCAGACACCTTGAACTCATACTTCCAGCCTCCAGAACTGTTAGACAATAAATTTCTATTGTTTAAACCAGGAGTTCCCAACCCTTGGGCCGCAGACTCAAATTGGTCTGTGGCCTGTTAGGAACCAAGTCGCACAGCAGGAGGTGACCCAGCAAAGCTTCTTCTGTATTTGGAGCCACTCCCCAGAGCTAGTATCACCACCTCAGCTCCACTTCAGATCATCAGGCATTAGATTCTCAAAGGAGCACGGGTGCCTGGTGCTGAAAAGGTTGGGGACCGCTAGTTTAAACCACTGTTTGTGGTAATTTGTTACAACAGCCTTAACAGACTAATACGTAATAAATAAAGTCAGAATTTAGGGCTGAGACATTTGAAGCTGGATCAGAGAAAAAAAAATGGAAAGATTGCAAATCGGCACCAATTCCTAATTTATCTTTCTTGATGTCTGACATAAAAGTTGATATTTTTCATTTTCATTAAGCACTCCTCAAATATATTTTGTCTAACTTAAATATTAAGAGCAAAATCTTATAAGTTGTTACTTTATAAGGTTGAAATTACCTACCATGTTCCATTTTCAAGTTTTCATCTGGATTATATAGTAATTGGATGGAGAGGCTTAAGTCTGGAGTTGCCTGGAAGATAAATGGAACGCATAAATCATGTCATTATCCATAAAGAAGGTAATATATAAATATATTCCATACAAGGCAAAGATGCACTGAATGACCATACTGTAGCTTTAAGAAAAGTTGACTGTTTCAGGTCACAAAGGCACTATTTAGAGTTCAGCAAGTAGGACCATGTGTCTAACAGGCCATACAATCGTGTGCCTACCCCAAGTGGGCAATTCATAACATCTTACTGGAAGGATGGAGCCCAGGGTATTAAAAAAACTTAGAAGGTATATACTCCAGTAGTTTCATTTGCAATAAGAGCAAACACTGCTGTTGGTTCTCAGAAGACAAAAACAAGAACCCAGTGGAAATGTCAATCTTTTTCTTCTTAAGATACACGAATCATTTTAACAGATACCCTAGTTCCTCTTTCCTCTTACAATTGAATTGAAAAAGAAAACAAGTCTCCTTGCCTCGACATTTTAGAATACAAAGTTGTAAAGCTTCTATTGTAAAGGCCTCAACGTTGTTTTTTCTGCTTTCATAAGCATAAACTAAATAGCTAATGATAAAAAATTGTAGCAAGTGTTCACAAAGAAATGTCTATAAATTAACTGAGCAATCGACTACAAACAAGGTTAGGCCTAGACCACTGAAGGGCCCTCCCCAAACCAGGATAAGCTGGCAGCACATTAACCTGGAAACCTTTGCCAAACTCTGAACAAGTTTACCTCACTATATCCCCTCACCTTCCTTCCAGGAAACTTTCCAATGTGCCCTTCAGTCACATAAAGGTGCTGTCAAGAGCCCAGTAAACATCACGCTTTCTCGAACAGGTTTGCCTCTTGGGGCAAGGCGGTGGGGTGGATAATTAAGTTTGGCATCTGGTCTAAAAGGCCCCAGAAGGTTAGGAGGGGGACTATCAATTCTCAAGGCTATTTTCTATTTCCAAAAGAGGACGAGACCAGCAAAGAACCGACTCAATGATGTTATGTCTTCTCTGACCTCTCTGATAGTTTTTTCCAAGCTTCTGAATCCTCTCACCCCTTCTCTTAAGGTGCTTGTCTTCTTCACAATCCCCAGGCCTCCTCCTCGCACACCACCACCCGCCAGCGAGGTAAGGGCCCATGGCCAACTACAGACTCTAAGGTCCACTGCGGCCAGCTCCAGTCAAGAGCAGTTGCCTAGATGGAAGCTTGACGAGATCTAATCTCCCTGATCTGATTCCTCTGGCTACTGTGCCTCTAGGGGAAAGCAGAACAGGTGAGGACGACTGGAGGGAACCAGTTGCGGAACAGTCCGAAAGGGCGAAGTAAGTGCGCGGGGCGAGAGAAGGAGGAACAACCACGCGATAAGTAAAAGGAGGCGCACCCAGAGAACCGCCTCGCTCCCAGGGATCACCTTGCGTTGACCTAGTTGAGCTGTGCAGGAAAGAACCAGAGAGGGCGAAGGAGAAGGGCGGGGCGGGGCGGGGCGAGGGGTGGTGCAGGAACTCTGGGGACGACGGAGCGAAGTGCCCGGCCAGTGGGGGCTTAACAGATGGTGGGGGGCTTAGTGGCGGCAGCTGCCACCAGCAGGCTGCCAGCAACGTTGGCGGCGGCGACGGCGCACGTGGTGACGTGCGAGGGGGTGAGGCGCGAGCGGGCGGCGACGGCGGCAGTGTCTCCGGGACGCGCGTGGAGGTCGGTCGCTCCGAGCTGCCGGGCGCAGTTTCTCCGCCTGCTGCTTCGGCGCGACTGTGCCAGCGAGCGAGCGAGCGAGTCCCCGCGAATCCCCGTTGGCGCTCCCCCCCTTCTCGCAGCCTCCGTGGACTGACCGCTCGTTCTCCCGCTCGATCGGTTACCCCCTCCGCGGCCTCGAGGCGCTTTCCGTTGGGCCTGTTCCCGCCCGCTTCCTCCTGCTCCCCGTCGAAGCTCCAGAGATGAGTTTTTCCATCTCTTCAGAGATGAACCAGGTAAGACGCGCTGGTCCCACGGACGGTGGCGGAGGAAGAGGGCGCGGCCGGAATCCGATCTGAAGGATGGCGCCGCCGGCCGCCAAGAGGGTGTGAGGTGCGGGGAGGTGTCCCGATCCCGCGGGGAGTAACCCTCCAGCCGCCGCCGCCGCTCTCTGAGGGCGAGGCGCCGGCGCCGCGCGGCGGGGCGCTGCCATGGTTGCTAGGTCGCGTCGGCGGTCGCGGGCGGGAGCTGGCAGCCTCGGAGAGCGCCAGGGCCGAGGAAGCGGGGCGGGAGGAACGAGACGTTCTTGCTCGGGAGCCTGGGTCAGGGCGGCGCGGGGTGGGGATGACCTGCCGGAAGGAGGACGCGGGAATCTCCGTTCCTGCTGTCAGGAACCGACGCCTAGTGTGGGTCCGCCAGGTCTGGACTCTACTCCCAGGACCTGGCGCGTATGAGCGGGGAGACAGCCCCGGGCCGCATTGGTGCCCGGGGCCTGGAGTGGAGTGGCACCGCGTCCCTGATCGCCGTGGGCCGCGGGGTCCTTTGTTCCCGCTCCACGTTGCCCGCTTTTCTTGCCAAGCGCGGGGAGAAGGGGGCGGGAGGAGGGAGGGAGCGGCTGGCCTGACGTGTCAGCGCTGAATGACTGCGGGGCCGGCCAATCCCGGGCGGGGGTGTGCAGGCGCCGGGCGCCTTGCC